ACACAGAGTGACCTGGGGAACCCAGTGGTTCTAGCCTGAGCCCTTTGAGCCTTCCCAGTCCAAGCACAGGCACCAGGCAGAAGAAGCTTTTAAGATAACCCCAACCCAGCCACAAAAGTAACCGAAGCAAGAAACTCCTGGTTGAACCCAAACAGCGCCCATAATGGTCAGCTATAATAACAACGATGATGGTTCTTGTCTGGCCTTTGGGGAAGTTTTGTTACACAGTAATATTTCACCTATACAGAGAGAAAGCCCTTTTGCACCTAAGAAGCACCGACTAACGGGTAGTAATTATGATTATTTCGATCCAACTTCATCCTGGCTCAGTAGGCCTTATTAATAATCCCAAAACTCACTGCCATCGAGGCAATTCCGACTCATACAGATACTTCAGGGCAGGGTAGAACTGCCTCTGTGGGTTTCTGAGACTGTAACCCTTTATGGGAGTAGAAAGCCTTGTCTTTCTCCCATGGAGTGGCTCGTGGGTTTGAACTGCTGACCCCTGTGGTTAGCAGCACCAGACGTAACCACAGCACCTCTAGCCAGTACTATTTATTGCCACCACAGCCCGTCTTGTGCCTGCAGTTTGTGTGTGACTATGAGGCCGGAAGGTCTGCCACCTGTCTTTCCAACACCAGCAGGGTCTCTCCTGGTGGGACAGGTGTTCCCAGTGTTTCCAGACTAAGACTGACCAGGAAGAAACTTTGAGAATTAGCCAAAGAAAACCATATGGATCCGAACAGAATAATATCTGATCTCGACACGTCACCCAGAAAGGCCAGTTGTGAGAAACGGCCCCCAAGTTTGTGGAACCAAAATTCTCCACAGTCACGGCCATCAAGTTTGATTCTGACTCAGAGCGTCCCTATAGGACAGATTAGAACCGGCCTGTGAGTTTCCGAGCCTGTGACTCTTTTCCGGAGCAGGAGTCACAAAAGGAGAGAAACCCTCGCTGAGACAGGTGACGCCAGGATAGGACACAGTGGGATTCGACGGGATGCGGGGCCGGAAACAAAGGACTCAGGCATAACTCTGATCCTGAAGGCGAGAGGGGACTGGCAAGGTTTCTTTCTGTTAGACATAACGTCGCCACAGGTTGGAGCTCTCTTGGCAACTAGCAAAAACTATATACTGCTCATATAGCATAAATTAAGAGCTCCGGTGGTGTCATGGGTCATGCACTGGGCTGCTAACCTCAGGGTCAGTGGTTCAAACCCACCAGCCGCTCAGGAGGAGAATGATGGCGCTTTCTGCTCCTGTAATGATGTACAATTTTGGAAACCAAAATGGGGCAGTTCTATTCCTCCTAAAGCAGCAGTTCTCAACCCGTGGGTGCCAACCCCATTGGGGGGTCAAGCGACTGTTTCACAGGGGTCGCCTAAGACCATCAGAAAACACGTATTTCCGATAGTCTTAGGAACTGAGACACCGTTTCTCTGTCTCCAGGCAGGTCCGCCCACATGCAGATAAGCCCACCTACGAGTACCCGGCATGAAGACTGTTACCCATGCTACACCATGCTTCAAGACAAAATTTCATTTATTTGTCATTTGAAATAAATATTTCACAATATATAATGATATATTGTTTTTGTGATTCATCACAATGCTTTATGTTCAATTTGTAACAATGAAAATACATCCTGCATATCAGCTATGTACATGACAATTCATAACAGTAGCAAAATTAGAGTTATGAAGCAGCAACAAAATTAATTTTATGGTTGGGGGGGGTCACTGCCACATGAAGAACTGTATTAAAGAGTTGCAGCATGAGGAAGGTGGAGAACCACAGCCCTAGAGGGGGGCTATGAGTTGGATGGCAGTGAGGCTTTTGTTTTGTTTTTGGTACTCTCTGTGCCCAGTCCATAGGTCTGATTTTTCTTTTTCACTGTAGCTCAAAGGATTTGAGAAATTTGCCCAAGATCACGATTTAACCAAGACACCCAGGGAGTGAGGTGGCTTAGATCCCACCCTGGGTTCTTCTGATTCTACGAATCCGTCGTGCTGTGTGCCCTAGTCAGGGCACTGCCACCTAAGGTCATCTAAAGTGGCATCTCACCCACACCTGTCTCTATTAAGAACTAACAAGAGTGTGACACCTGCCAATCCCTGCGACATTCTCTCAGGTGGCTCCTGCACTCCCCAGGCATCGCACGGATGTTGTTGGTGGCAGGTGCGGTCAGAGTCAGCTCGGACTCGCAGCGACCTCAGGAATGACAGAAAGAAGCGCTGCCAGGTCTCGTGCGTTCTCACCCTCGTTCTGTTTGGGCCCAGGCTTAGTCACCGTGTCCACCATGTTCATGGAGGGTCTTCTTTCTCACTGACTCTCCAATTACCAAGCCTGGTGGTCTTTCCCAGGGAGACGGGTCCCTCCTGATAGCATGTCCAAAGGCCATGAGACGGCCTCTCTCCACCCTCCCTCCCAAGGACGGACCATTCTGGCTGTACTTCTTCCAAGACAGATTTGTTCCTTCTCCTGTAGTCCATGGGACTTTCAGTATTCCTGGCCAACACCACCATTCAGATACAGCAGTTTTCCGGTCATCTTGATCATGCCTGGCAAGTCTTATGTCAGCGCATGACAAGGATGTCCACCTGCAGGCCTCCGAGACTTCTTAGTAACTTCGGTTTTCACCTCGAGGGCTGGAAAGGCATGTGATTGTCAGGGAGGTTTGGTAATGATCCTATTAACCCATTAGCACCTTCATTTGATCCCTTGGGTAATTAATTTTCAACAAACCAAGCTCTTAGTGTGCTCTCCTGAGAGATGTTATTGCTGCTGGGTACAGGGCATGAACTCCATGACCCGACTGCCTGGGTTCAAACCCCCGCTCTGCCACTTCCTCACTGGGTGTCTTTGGGCGCGTTACTAACTCCTCTCAGGTGAAATGTCCTCACAAGTAGAAGGGGAGGGAACACAACAGGCCCAGCTCATTTTATTGCACCCCCTCAGAGATTGCATTTTTAACAAATTACAGGTCTGTGGCCACCCGCCACGGGACAGGTCTATCAGTGCCATTTCCCCAGCCTGTGCTGACTTTGGGTCTCTGTGTCACCGTCCTTCTGGCTCAAGCTGTTGCACACTTAGGGGCAAGTCTAGTGTCAGCACAAGCTTTCTATGGACAGAGAAACACATTTATGTTATACTGGTTTTCCCGTAGTGGGCTAACACCCAACTCACTGCCATCAAGTCAATACTGACTCACAGTGACCTGATAGAACAGAGGAGAACTGTCGCCTATCAGTTCCCAAGACTGTAACTCTTTATGGGAGAAAGCCCCATCTTTCTCCCTTGGAGCTGGCTGTGGTTTTGAACTGCTGACCTTGCAGTTCCTCAGCTCAATGAACCACTAAGCCACCAGGGCTCCTGTGGAGTAGCAGAGAACTCTCAAGATCTCTGAGGCCCGTCTTTAAGGACAGGAGTGACCTCAAGGGGCCATAGTGGAGATTTAAGGAAATAATGAATCGATAGATGTTTAGGAGCCCTGGTGGGATAGTGGCTAGGGGTTGGGCTGCTAACTGCAAGGTCAGCAGTTCAAAACCACTGCTGGATTTACGGGAGAAAGTCAGGGCATTCTACTCCCCTAAAGAGCAGCAGTCTCACAGGGGACAATTCTACCCTGTCCGATGGGGTCGCTATGAGTCAGCATCGACTCAATGTCATTGAGTTTTGGCTAGTTATTAGTTTGGTTTATCGAACTGCTGACCTTGCCGTTAGCAGCCTACTGTGTAACCCACTAGGCCACCAGATCTCCCTCTCCGGAGTTAGGTGAAAGCAAGTCTTCAATTCATCCACTGGCATTCCAGCCCCTTCGTCTCTGCTTCCCTCTTGAACAAGTTGCCAGCTTTCTCTTCCTACAAAATGAGTTTAATTCGGTTGGTTCTCTATTGACTTTCAGAACCAAGAACCATTCTTGGCATGCCGAGCCAATCTTATCTCACCCACCTCTTCTCTCCAGGACCCCTGAACCTTTGCCCTCGCCACTGCCCATTTCCTGGTCTGGGAGCAGCCCACCCATTCAGGCCTCCTGCCCTTTGCCCAGGCAGCACCCTCTATGGGGAACCCTTCTTTGCTGAGCAAACTCTCCTCATTTCCCAAGACCCAGCTCAGGGAACATCACTTTGAGCTCGCTTTTGCTGCTGTATCCCAGCGCCTAGAATCCAATCATTTTGACTGAATGAATTGTCTAATCATGTAACTTAGATGTGAGTCCCCCACCATCGTCCCCCTGCCCGATGGTTCCCTCTGAGCTGCCCACACACCTTGTTTAAGCGTTCCTGGAGCTTCTTGAAGACGGGTCATTGCACATGCTGGGTTTTCCTCCGACTCTCGGTACCTGGCACAGACTCATGTGAACTCTCTAACTCTGTTAGAGGAAGCACTTTGCATGTGGCTATGAGGCTCTCAGGTCCTAAGGATGGCGCAGGGCAGAGCAGCTTCGTTCTGTGGCGAATAGGGTCACCATGAGGAGTTGGGGGCCGACTGGAGGTCTGCTAACGACAA